TTTTTTACAGTTTTAACAATGTAGCCATCCACAACCGGAAGGAAAGTAAAAGTATCTCTTTAGCACAAAGAAGCGGCAAACCGCAGCCATTTTTTTTTCTCCAAAAAATAACTTTCGATTTTCAATCCTTGAGAAGAGTGCTTAAAAGTCTGAGTCAAAGTTTTAAGTTCTTTATAAAAGATCCAGACTTCCTAGTTAGCTCCGTCTGTGAAAAATACTCACAATTTAATTCGGGAAAAAAACAGAAGTGGAGACGGCGTCTGGCTTCGCTTGCAGCGAAGACGTCCTGATCTGCGGAGAAGCTCTGAGCTCCGGAGGAGTTCTCACCTTCACCTCGCTGGGAACACCCAGGGAGGCTAGGGAACTCGACTCCTACTCACGAGCAAGCTCTCCTTCTCTCCTTTGCCCGGAGAGAAGTTTCAAAGCGCCAAACAGCTGTTAAGCGCTGTTTCAGCACTTTTTACGCAGTCCTGAACGGGAGGCTGTCAAAACAACCCCCTTCGGCAGCCGCCGAGCCACCGAAAGCCCCGTTACTTACAAAATTTAAAGCATAAAATAAAATAAAAAATTGAAATGAAATAATAAAATTAAAAAAATAAATAAAAATAAAACTAATAGCAACAATGGCGCATTGGAATATCTGCAAGAAATACCATTTTCCTGCAAGCATGAACTGGTGGGACCACCAATTATACAGAGTAATACAGGTAGTCCTCAACTTATGATTACAATTGAGCCCAAAATTTCCATTGCTAAACAAGGCAGTTGTTAAATGAGTTTTGCCCCATTTTATAACCTTTTTTGCCACAGTTGTTAAGTGAATGACTGTAGTTGTTAAGTTAGTCACATGGTTGTTAAGTGAATCTGATATCTCCATTGATTTTGCTTGTCGGAAGTTTGCAAAAGGTGATTATACAACCCCAGGATGCTGCCATTGTCATAAGTGTGAAAAAGAGTCATATGCCACTTTTTTCAGTGCCGTTGTAACTTTGAATGCTCACTGAACAAATGGTTGTATGTTAAGGACTACCTGTAGAAAATGAAGAAGCTAAAGTATTCTGGGACTTTACAATTCAACCAAACAAGCACCTGCCACATAATATCCCAGACTTAGCCATTGTCAATAAGAAGACAAAAAAGGCTGGATAGTGGACAATGTAGAATCTGGAGACCGGTAGAAAAGAAGAGAAAGAACTGAAGAAATGCATAAAATACAAAGATCTGCAAATAAAAGCAGAACAACTGTGGCAAAACATAGCAAAGATAGTACCAAGGGTAATAAACACCTAGGGTGTAATCCCAAAACAACTAGAGCATTACTTGAGTACCATCAGCATTGATAAAATCAGTCAATTGCAAAAGGCAGCTTTACTTGGAACAACTTACATCCTGTGACAATAATTTTAACACCATACAATAACATCTGCCTATTGGGAAAATCTCAATAGGTGGACAAAAATGCTAAATCCAGTTTAAACATCTGGCTCACAGTGCAACAAAATAAAATATTAAAATAAAATAATATTACCAAGTCTGATTGTTTAAAACTGTTAGGTGCTTACTTCTTCTATAGTGCTGTCTGAAATTCCATAGCAGCCAATACGAAGATCACTTAAATTACTATCCAGGTTTCTCAGAAGAGACTGATAGGATGAAGAGACTTTACTGGTAAATGGAGGAAGTACATAGATAAGTTCTCCACCAATATCTTCTCTGAGATATGCTTTTGGAAGATGAGCCTGTATTGTGGCTGTCACAGCAGAGGTATTGCATTCTTCTGCTACATTCAGAGCTGAGCTCTGGAGAAACATAAGGGGATAATAAATACCATACAGTGAGATTTTAATTTTCATAATATACTATGAAACATGATACATGAGAAGGAAATTAAGTTTGAAACAACTGAATAAAACTATATTCAGGCATCCTGAGTACATCACTAAATTGTATCTGCTAGTTGGTGGACATAGACAGCAGTAAATTGGCGCAATTTAAGTCTCTAGATTAGATATCCTAATTTGCATAGGCTTTGGGCCAAAAAATTCAACATGGGAAATAAGTGAGCTTCTTTATGGAGGACATTTGGTTATGGAGTATAGCAGCAAAGAAGCAGATATCTTTAAACTATATTTTCTCACGATGGCCTTTGAAAAAGAGCCTTAGTAAGATTTTAGCAGTTTGCTTTAACAATATTGGATTTTAAATATAAGTATCAGCACATTGAACAGAATTCAAAATTTAATAGGTACCCAATGAAATTCTTTTAAAATATGCATAATATGTACAAATCTGGTCATGCCAAATTTGATATTTTTGAAATTTTTGATAATGTTTTCATTAATTCTGTTTTAAAATGCCATACAATGCACATATTTAAATACATGTACTTTCTTTTAAACACATATTTATAAGATACTGTCAAGATTGAATTGCTAAGATGCTTGCTGCTCAACTTGCCATAGAAACAGGGAGAGGGGAATCTTGGGAGGAACAGGATTTTTAAGAAGCTGTCTACGGACCATGAGAACCAAGGTCACAGAAGCAGGTGTCTGAAGGAGAAGTGGACCGTTCTCATAATAAACCAAAGAAATATGATTGGGCAATGTGAATGTCAAGGTTCCGACTAGCGAACCCAACCAAGCAAACTTCTCTGAGACTTTTCAGGCTCTTAATGCAAAGCTTTATTGAGTATACCATATCTGCACATATGAAACTAAAACCAGCTCTGACCAGACCTCACCCAAATCACTATAGTAAAAGCATTGTCTTCTTCCTCCTCCCTCTGGGTCAGGTCACGTTGCCCAATCAAGTTGAAAAATATTGTTGAGAGAGAGCACTTCTAGACCCGGCCAGACACCTGGCAATTGTCCTTGGTTCCCATGGTCTACTTCCTTAATCTTTGAAGTCTGCATTCCAAACCTCTCCCCTTCTCCCGAGCTTGTTGACAAGTTGAGAAGCAATGTCCATTGCACCAGCAAGACTGGGCTTCGAGACTTGACAGTGAACAGTGGGTGGGGGTTATGGTTATTGTTAACTAACCAGATTTTCACGTGGGAAATTCACGAGCTCATTTTGCTTCTTCAGTACCAAGATATGTATTCAATAAACTTTATTTTTATGGCACCTTGAAACCGTAGAGTTTCCTCAATGTTGAATTCGCTAGTCGGACAGTTGACAGATACTTTGATAAGTTTAAATTATACCACAACATTTGGAAAAGTGAAAACTTTGGTGGATAATTAAGTTCCCATCCATAGAGCCCAAGTGAACAGAGAACAGCTAAAAAGAGCAGACTTTGCAGAAGCGCTGCTCTCCTGAATAATCTAATTAAAAGCCTTAAAAAAAATCCTGCAACCACAGGGAAAAAAATGAATGGAGGAAAAGACTGACTTGGAGAGAAGAGAAATCTTGGAAATCAAACATTTATTTGGATGCAAAGTTTATTCTGGTGAGTTCTCTTATGCAGTTTCCTTTGTTTTCCTAATGACAACACAGTGCAGCATTGAAAACATTTTCTTTATATAGACTGAACTGTTTTTCTTCAATATTGACTGCATAGTCCTTTTTACCATTAACAGAGTATACTTACATAGACATAAATGCAAAATGAATTAGGTACATATCTGTTTGCATGAGTGTTCCTTTTCCCTCTCTCTCTTTCTAATGAATTAAATACAGATCTGTTTGCAAGAGTATTTTTTCTCTCTCTGTATATTTATACGGATGTATAAGGATTACAATCTTTACTAACTAAATAATCATGAATGAATTGAATATGATTTTTTATATATGTTGAATGATAATGAGAAAACTGAGCGATCCTTTTAAAAAGTTGTTTACAACTATTGTAAAGTTTTGCTGCTGGATCGTAAATTTTTATTTCTATTGGTAAGCTTTTATTGCCCTGAGCTGCTTTGAGCTACCATTATCATTCTACCTCCTTTTGTGGATTACAAATAGTCCGAGACTGCTATATTTTTTTACAATATTTTTAAATATTTTTGTGGACCACCTTTGTTATTATCTTTTTATATATTGTATAATCTTTTTTTATATTAACAAGCTGACATTTCATTTTTTTACTCTCAGCTGAGAAATTTTTTTCTTTTCAGCTGAGATTTTGTTTTACTTTCCAAATTTTATTCATCTGTCATTTTCACTACATGTGTGGATTATAAACTATATCAAGAGGGCAACATCAAGATTAGCCACAGGAGGGAACAAAAGGATAATTTAGAACTCCCAGAATAAAGGTAAAATTTCCTGACAGTGTAAACAATTAACCAGTGGAGAAGCTTGACTTCAGAAATTGTGAATGCCCATCACTGGAGGTTTCTGAGAGGATATTGGACAGCCATTTGTCCAGAATTGTATAAGTCTCTTCAGCTCTGTTACTCTATTATTCTAGAAGACTAACTTTTAAGAATAGAAACTTCAGTTTAAATTTTCTTTTTTAAACAAAAATATTCTAAATTTTGGGAATTTTGAAAATAAATTTCTAGAATTTTTTAAATTTAGAAAAAAATCCTTTTAACAGGGCAGCTCAGGTGGCCCAGCTGAGAGATGAAGAGACAGGCCAGCTGAGAGACAGAGAGGTGGGCCAGTTGAGAGGAGGAGAAGTGGCTCAGTGGGCCAGCGACCCAGCCCAGCAGCTGAGCAGAGGTGGTGCAGTACAAACAGAGGCCACAACAGCAGTGAAATGGAGCTAAGTGGCAGCAGACCAGCGGTTGTGAGCAGCACCGCAGACCTTGAGCAGCAGCAGTGTAGAGCTAAGTAGCAGAGGAGTGGAGTGTCGACAGCAGTGGCTGAGAGCAGCATGGCAGACCAGCAGTGGACCAGCTGAGCAACGGCTAAAGGGAGCCGAGCACCCAGATCAGCACATCGTACCTGAAAATGCCAGCAATGGCCAGGCAGCTGAAGGGCAAGAAGGCAGGGAGGAAAAGGATAAGTACGAAACACATGTGGACAGCCAAGAAAAGGATAAACTTTCAAGGCAGGGAGTAGAGGATTAAGAGCAAAGCATCTCCTACAAAACAGCCTGAGAATTCCAACAAAAAGAAGTGCATATTACTTCATAAAGGGCCAAGAACTTTTGTAAATTCTTAAATATTTAAAATCTCTGATTTTGTAAAAAAAAAATTAAAAAAATTACATTTTTTAATGTTAAAATTCTTTTTTCAATTTTTAATCTTTCAACTCTTAAATATCATTTTTAATTTTAAATTCTTTTTCAATTTTATAAAAAGTTATTTTTTCATTTTTTTACAATTTTCAATTTTTTTTCAATTAAAAAAAATTAAAAAACAGTTTAAATTGGTAACAATCTAAGAGGGGAAAAAATAATTACGGAAAAAGAAACAGCCACTTCAAAACAGGGAAGATAGTGATGAATTTTTCAAGACAGAGAACAAAGGGCCAAGAACCCTTGTAAACTATTGTAAACTGATATTTCACAAGAGAGAAAATACTTAATTTTTAGAAATTTTTATTTTTTTAACAACAAACAAAAGTCATGGAAATAGAGACTGACATTATAGTGACTTGCAAAATGTGTCATATGTTTAAGCTTATGCCCACAGAAGACCCAAACTATGTATGTATTAGGTGTAAATTATATGAATTACTAGAAGAAAAAATAAAAGGTCTAGAGTCAACTTTAGCAACTCTGAAACTCAATGAACAAGCAAGAAATCCCAACCTAAACAAGATTACATCAAAATAAAACACAATAGGGAGCAAACAGCTTCTAAAAAATGACCCCATATGTAAACATAAAGAAGAAAACTGATACACCAAATTGAACAGAATAGGGAAGAAACAGCTTCCGTAAAAAACAACCTTATGAACCTAAAGAGGAAGACTGATGGAAACATGTTAGAAGAAAACAACCAAGAGCTCTACCTTAGCTCACTCCAATGAAGCCCCTCTGGAACTGAACAATCACTTTCATAGCCTCCCCCAGAAGAAAATATGTAGACACCCATAACAGAGCAATCATCAATAGTTTCTAAAAAAGAGGCACAATCCAGTATTCCTGTGACAGGAAGAAAAATATCCCAGACTTCCCTAAGAAAAAAAGGTGAATATTGGTAATAGAAGATTTAATCTCTTCTTATTGTTTTTAGATTCATTGTTGTATCATTTGTCACCACGTGTAAGAGAAGAAAGGGGTAGTGATACATGGAGTTGATTATTTTAGTAAGATACTCAGTTACATCTTTGATTTTTCCTCCAGGGAGACAATATACCTCCCAAACCCTAAGAATTAGAATTAGCAAGAACGTTCTAAAATAATCAACCCCATGTATTACTACCCCTTTCTTCTCTTAAACACGTGGCAACAAATGACACAACAATGAATCTAAAAACAATAACAAGAGATTACAAACAGTTAGAGAAGAAAGTTAAAGAATTAAGAGCACATATGGTGTTTTCATCTATACTTTCAACAAAAGGCCAACATCCAATGAGGGAGCAAAGGATTTTAGAAATGAACCACTGGCTTAAAAACTAGTGTGGTCAACAGAACTTCAGCTTCCTAGACCATAGTCTACATTACCTATATGAAAGGCTACTAGCAAGGGATGGACTGCACCTCATAAGAACTGGAAAGAATATATTCAGAAAATGACTGGCTTATCTTATCAAAAGGGCTTTAAACTAAAATTGAGGGGGGAGGGGGCAATTTTCACAACCTTTAGAACTTAATTCCAAGCAAAACCCACTGGATAATCAATCCTATAAGGAGGTAGGGAGTACAGAGAAAGAAGAAAGAAAAAAAGAAAAACATAATGAAGTA